GCAGTCCCGCAGCGCCAGGTTGTTCAGGAGGCTGAGCGGCAGGCCCCGCAGCGGCGCCCCGGGTGGGCTGTTCTCTGTGGGCTTGTGGAAGCCGATGATGCCCACGCTGTACTCCACGCAGTACTTCTCCAGCAGCTCGCGGTTCCACGCGTCCATGCCCGCGTACTTGAGCACGTTCTCGTAGATGACCAGGACGTACTTGCCCCGGCCGCCCTCGGTCAGCGGCGGGATGTCCCCCTTCCCGGGCGCGATGACCATGTGGTAGGCGAAGCGGCCGGACTCCAGGATGGCGCTGAGTCTCCAGATGAATGAGTCCCGGAGAACTTGACAATTTGGTCTGAAAAGATGTACTCTGTCGAAAGTGCCAGTTGCCCCTGCAAGGGAAACGGTTGCTTTTGGCCTCAGAGATCCTAGGCCAGAAGTGAGGAAGAGCCACAGACAGTTCTGCTGGCCACTTGGACTGTAGCTCATACCCGTCGTTTTTATCCAAAAGAATTCTATCCTTCAGGCAGGAGCCTGAGGTCGGCGCACTCGGCCTTGGCGGTGGCTTCCAGCAGCACCACCTCCTGCCGGGAGCCCGCGTAGAGGAAGTAGGCGGAGAAGGCGATGCTGGCCAGGCAGAAGGCGGCCAGGAGCGCGATGAGGGCGCGGAAGCTCCTCCGCAGCCTCAGGAGGAGGTTCATGGTCTGCGGTCCCCCCGGGAAGCTTTTCCCGGCGTCTCCCCTAACGGGCCACCGGGGGCACAGCCGGAGAGGGTGCGCGTGCCGCTGCCCGCGAGTTCATGTAACCATCGCAGAGCATGTGAGGGCTGGAGGGGTCCCGCGGGGCGAGCTGGGAGGCCGGGGAGAGAGTCCAACCGAAGATGGTGGCCTGGTCCGTCAAGCACTACCTGGAAGAGGGAGCAACGCAGTGACCGGGACAATCAGAAGAAACATGTATGTGCCCACGCAGGCTGACAGCTACGTAGCACGCAGGCCCCAGATCATGTCAGGGCAGCTGCGATGCTAAAACACGAGGAGCCTGCTGTGTGCAGTCGAGATTTTACTACTTAGAATACGGTGGATTTCTTTCATGTTCTCAGGAAGACAGAACCCTATTTGTTTTTTGTATATAGTTTGTCTTGTATTATAGCCATCACTACACTTCTCCTAGCTCATGAATTGGGTTTAAAATTCCATTTAAACAAACATGAGACCATCCCCACTTGACCCCCCCTGCACTGTGCCCACCTGGCCCCCCCTGCACTGTGCCCCATGCCCACCTGGCCCTGCCCTGCACGGCCCCACCCTTCAGGGACCCACAGGAGCAGCAGTCTGTCCAGTCCACCTGCTGTGGGTTTGCTTGTATTTCAAAAATAAATTCAATCAGGAGTTTGAAAAGAAACAGTGCATGACAAGTTAATACTTTGCTAGGTCCTTATCTAATCTGACATCAAAAATGTGACTTTTATGTATGAATATACAAAGGATTAGATGTCAGTTTTGCATATTAGAACAGCACAGGGTAATAAAAAAGCATATGGGATTAGAATCTGTCAACCAAAAGAATAAGTAAAATTTAAATGTGACATTTATTTAACATTAATATGTTCAGAGTTAGAATGATGCATACATATTATTACTGTTGTAGATAGCTGGTTTGAATGTGTGTGTGTGTGTGTGTGTGTGTGTGTGTGTGTGTGTGAGAGAGAGAGAGAGAGAGAGAGTGTGTGTGTTAATCTAAGGAGTTATCATTTCTTCAATTCAATCCTCCAATTTCTGCTTCCCTAACAAAACTTAGCCAGTGGAGGGGCAGCGTCTGGAAAAGCATAAAACAGGCACAAGGAGATTCACTTCTGTTCTGTGCCTGAGGTAAGAGATGGGTCGGCACTGCCTGAGCCAGCGAGATGCAGTCTCGGACGTGCCCGAGCCACTTACTGTAGAATCGACAGAACAACAATCCTATATAACAAAAGGCTAATACGCAAGGCGACCGAACGGCAGGACGACCGGTCGCTATGAAGCACACTGAGCACCAGAGCGCCACCCCCCGCCCCTGCCGAGTGCACAATTTTCATGCACCGGGCCTCTAGCTTATATATATATGTATACCTCCAGTTCCTGTCACAGACTCCCAAACCTTCAGAATTTCCGGGTGAGAGCCATGTCCTCTGTTCCCAGGAGCCACGCTTGGTGGGGACTGGGTGGGGCTGGTCCCCGGGAAGTTTGGACTCTCAGCCCCACCCCCATCCTATGGGAAGGGAAGGGCTGAGATGGAGCTAAGGATGGATGGTGCCCCCATGGGAAAGGGAGGGGCTGATACGGAGGGGAGGGTGGAGGTGCCCTCATGGGAAGGGCTGAGATGGAGGGGAGGGTGGAGGTGCCCCCATAGGAGGGGTTGAGATGGAGGGAAGGGTGCCCTAACAAGCCTACTGTTAAATGTGGACAGCGGGGGGGGGGCCTCATTATTTTGGGGGATACGCTGTCTCCAAATGTAGGCCGTGTGACCCTCGGCAGCCCCCCTCGTCCTCACCGTCAGTTTCTGTTTTCGTTCTTACTTCCAGCCTCCAGGCGAGGCTGCCCCTCAGCGGCACCGGGTAAGTGTGGCTTGGATCCCGCACTTGGATCCCGCACTCCCTCCGGACGAGCTCACGGGGAGTCATGACGGCCTGGCCGCTCCGTTGCAACGGTTCTCGGGCTCATTTCCCAGGTGTTTGTAGAGTCTCTGGAACACGGGTCAGAGTCCCTCCCCCGAAGGTCCAGGCCGCAGAGGACTCAGCGGGCAGTGCCCGTCTTTGGAACCAGAGGCGCCAGCGGAGATCGAGGGCGGAGTCCCCGTGGACGCACCGTAGCCGCTTCTGTCCCCGGGGTCCGAGGGGACACGGGTCGCCGCTGGGGCTCAGCTGCAACGGAAAAGAAAGGGTCCTTCACCACGTGGCCCCGGGGCGGCTGCTTCCCGACACGGAGCGGCCTCCTACCCCCCGTCCTGCGGCATCAGCCCTGGTGCCCTTAGCGGACTCCGGGACGGAGGGTCCAGGAGGGGGGCGGACAGGCGGCTAGTGTCTGTGAGCTGGGCCCAGGGTCCCGCCCCCCGGGGAGAAACCGGGCTGAAGTCAGATGAACAAGTCCCAGCAACTGGGCGGATTAAGTAATTTCACTCCCACATTAGCAAGTCTCATTTCCGTTTTAAAAATTCAGATATTCAAAGTCAGAGGGATCACCAACCATGGGCAACTCCGGAGGTGACCTGGAGCTGCTCTGGGAGTTGCAATATTTCAACATGCGTTGCCTGTCAGGGGCGGTCCACCCATGTTTTCCGGGAAAGTGGGCTGCCCAGCCTGTGCCTGAAACCTCTGTCATCTTGTGAGTCAGCCGTCCCCGGTCACGGAGCCCTGGTCCTCTCTCTTCCTTACGCATCGGAAGATGTGGTCAGACCTACTTTGTGCCTCGCTCACATTTTTATTTTGCTGATTTATGCGTCCCTAGTCCAGTCTGTATATTGTTTCTCTTTCCACACTAAGCAATTTCCCCTTCGCCCAAGCGCAACCCGGCTAAGTGAGACAGACACACGGAGGAACCTTCGTGACCCCGCCCCGAGCCAGGTGAACGGACGGTGCCATCACCATGTTCGTAGTAGTTTTATTGGAACAGGGACCTCAGACTTCCAGGCCGAGGGTTTAAGAATCTGAAAATCGGTTGCACGAGGGCATTTCTGTTTCCTTAGAACGTGGGCATCATCTGGCCTCCACCGTTCCTGACCAGTCTAAACCTGTCGGGAGGCAGGACACACGTGCACATGACTCTTTAAAACACTGCAGGCATGTTTATCTGCCACTGAAAATATAATCGGAGTAAAAAGTGTCCAGATCCCCCAGAGCGGAAGTTCCGTCTGCCTGTGAGAGAGGTCCTGGCACCCCGCTCACCTGGGCCTCCCCCCACCTGCCTCTGAGACGGTCCTGGCATCTCCACTCACATGGGCCTCCCGGGAGAGGCGGGCACACCTCCCCCCACCTGCCTGCGCCGGTTTCAACATCTGCTCCAGACCCCGGTGCACCTGCCGCTCGGATGCAGCAGGCGCTGCTGGATGCACACCTGTGCGCCCACGACCACGCCTGCAGCAGGGCCACCAGGCACCGTCACTGCTTGCTGGGCAGGGAGCCGGGGGCAGGGGACAGCCAGTCCGACCTACCAACGGGCACCCGCAGACGGGACCCCGAAGGGCACGGAGGGCACAGTGCGCATGAGAGGAAGAGCCATGTCACCGGCTGTTCCACCCAGACCCATGCCGCACCCACGGACGGGGTCGCCTGGAGAAACGTGGATTGTGTCAGTGCTGCTACCTTTGGCCCAGAACTGACGGTCTCGGACTGTAATGTTACGATGACAGTGGTCAACAGGTTGCTCTTTCTAACTCCGTCACTCACTTTCTACTCATGTTATTTTGTAGATTTTTCCTCAGGAACCGTTACTCAGGCCTGGGGCTTGCATGTCAGAGGAGGGCAATTAAAACAATATTTGGAGCTAATTCGTATAATGAAAGCAAAGAAATAAGAATATTGGAAGATAAAGTGTTGCAACTAATTCGGCTTCCCTCAAGTTTTAAAATACCAAAACGATCCTAAAAATAATATAACTGAAATGACAAGAAGTAAAGTCTTTTTAAAAATTTCTTTTCAATCCAGTTAACATTTTTTTATTATTATTACCCGGGTCACAAAAACAAGTTAATCATGCCTGACACACGTTTCCCTAGGAGCCTGGCTTTCTATCAAGTGAATTATTTCTGTTATTTCTAAACGCTCTCCCGATTTCCCAGCCTTTTCAACACTAGGGGGCGATATGTTCCCGCTTTTACTGCAAAAATAGGCCTAGGGCACCTGATCTCCACTGCTGGCTCCCAGACAAAGCGGGGTGCTCAGTGGGAGACTGCTCAGCTCACAGGTCACTAACTGCTTGGGGAACGAGGTCCCCTGTGATGTCAGAGACACAGCAGGGTTCACACCGTCCAAACCCCACTGACACCTCAAGCCCATACCAGAGTGTTCAGTCACCTCTGCTTAATACTTTGCTAATTTTTGGTGATTTGTTGACATCGAAATCTTTAAGGGAACAGAAGTAAATGTATTATAATTCAAGGAGGATACGTTTATTTTATTTCTGAAGTAAATGCAATAATATGCTTTTCCCGAGAGTCACCGTTCACTTGGACATATCTCTACTCTGCAGACATGTTTGTGCAATAATTTCATTTGCTCAAGAAATACCGCCATGATGTCTAAGGATTTGAATCTGCTGAAATGATTAACTCTGTTTTTACTATCTTAAGAGTAAAGAACATAAAATAAATAAGCAAAATACATACGACGAAGAAAAAAGCATACATACAGCATGACTTAGGTCACCTCCCCATTTATCTCCCAGTCCTGATGTGGAAATGCAGAACATAACAACTATGTTTGAAATAATTTAAAACTAGGGGCATGGTTTCGATTTAGGGTGTCAATATGATTTATTTGCGAAGGAAGATTTCTGGGTACTAAGTACTGCTGTTCAGCTGTATCTCAGACTTGTAACGTGATGTGCTTCCTCTATCGTTCATCATTTACCTGGGAACAGTGAAAACACCTGCTCACTGTAGCGGCTTCACAGGTGACTTGAAAGATAATGGGTCATTAGGAGGTTGTACGCACAATGAAATAGACTCAAATTAATCATCCTGGGTAAAATGCAAAAAAAAAAAATGTACAATAGGATTTATATCTATTCCTGTGTTGAGTTTTTGTCCAAAGTCAGTTTTCGAAAATCAGTCATTTACCATTTGTTAAAGTACGTAGTTTTTAGGGACTAAGCCACATACTCAGTATCTCAGGATCCACCATACAGAGTCCGGAAGAAGACGGTAAGTTACAGACTACACTTGGAATGCGGGCATCAAGGCAAGTGAAAAAAAATCAATATAAATATAGTTCTTATCTGGCCCATCACTCTGCTCAAAACATGGGTAAGGCCACACACACGCACACACACTCACTCACACCTCAAATCATGAAACTCAGTTTTGAAAACGTGGCCGTTGATCAAACCCTGCACCATCATCACTGCCAACACCGAGGGCTGGGCAGTTCCTCACGCCGCCAGCCTGCCCCTGGGACGGGGATGCAGGCGGAGACATCCCACCTACAGGGACACTTTTACTTCAGTAGCTTTGGCCTCAAAGCCTGGGGCAGGGGGGAGGGAGGCAGCCAATCAGACCCTTTTCCTTGGCATGTCCAGGACTTGGCCATCAGAGAGGCAGGGAAGTCAGCAGCTGATGCCGAAAGTTAAGAGGTGGAAACTCCTACGATTGCACATTTCTCCAACGGAGGAAGAGTGTTGAAATTGCTGAACAGACTGAAGATAAACCAACTGACAAAAATGTGAATTAATCTAAATGACCTTAAGTATATAGCAAGGCAATAATAAAGCCTCAACGGAGTAAAAATAAAAACAAAGACTAATTGAAATTCATAGGAACAATACAATAGAAGTCAGCGGTAGTACATGAAATGAAAATGTACTAAGACCCTAACCGGTTTGGCTTAGTGGATAGAGTGTCGGCCAGTGGACTGAAAGGTCCCAGGTTCAATTCTGGTCAAGGGCAGTATCTTGGTTGTGGGCACATCCCCAGTGGGAGGTGTGCAGGAGGCAGCTGATCGATGCTTCTCTCTCATAGATGTTTCTGACTCTCTGTCCCTCTCCCTTCCTCTCTGTAAAAAATCAATAAAATATATTTTTTAAAAAACGTACTAAGAACCCTGTATTAGGGTCATGATATTGATGGACTTCCATCTTTGGTAACATATTTTGATTTTTAATGAACAAATAAAAATATGTACTTTCAAAACTAGTAGAGGAGAAAAAATGAAATGCAAGAAAAATACTCAATTAAAAAAATAAAGGAGAGGAAAAGAAACCTAGAGAAGGCAGGACTAATGGAAAATAAATAGTTCTGTTTTTGTAATTCCATTAACTTTAAATGAACTACATTATCTTTAAAAAACAAAGATTGGCAGATGGACCCAAAACTCCCATGAATCCAAGTATGTGCCGTTTACAAGTGATATATTAAAACATGGGAAAGTAAACATCTGGAAAAGGCAGAGCAGACATATTTTAAGTAGAACAAACTGATATAAAGTATTAGGAAATTAGAGTTAAAGCACAAAGAATTCCTGGAGATACAGAGATCATCTACAATAATAAAAGCATAATATGCTAATTAGACCAAACAGCCGAATGACCTTCTGGACGTCATTCCGGACATCTTTCCGGACAAAGCTGCCACAGCGGGGGGCTGAGGCAGAGGCAGTTAGGGGTGATCAGGCAGGCAGGCAGGAGAGTGGTTAGGAGGCAGCAGTCCCGGATTGTGAGAGGAATATCCCCTGAGGGGTCCCAGATTGTGAGAGGGTGCAGGCTGGGCTGAGGGACCCTCCTGTGCATGAATTTCATGCACTAGGCCTCTAGTTTTATAATAATAATACATTACATTTATTGGGAAGTCATGGGGGCCCTTTGTCTTAGAAGATCTTCTACACAGATGTCTGGTAGTTTTCAAAGTTAATGAATTAACCACAAACGAAGATTTTTCAGGGTGGGGTTGAAGCAGCTCACCATGAATTAGTTGATGCCTGCTATAAAGAGAAGTGGATGGAATGGGCAAGAAGATGGAATGGAATAATGGACAGTAGTCTAGACATGACCATGAGGAGCAAAAGGGCATCTAACCAACCTCCTGACCCACCAGGAGAACTGGGAGAAAAGCTATAACTCAGACCAGAGGCCCCAGGTCCTGGAGGAGGGTGGGTGTCCATCAGAGCAAGATCAAGACAGCCTCAGATAGAGTCCCACCCCAAGGGGAAAGAAC